GATTTTCCCCTTCCCGGGGTGCGTTTTTTTCCTTTCCCGGGACTCGGGGCTCAGCCCGGTAATTGTTTTCTCTCTTCAAAGCGGTTTTGCCCTTTCCCGGAGCGCGATTTTGCCCCTTCCCGGGACTCAGGGCCCAGCCCGGTAATTTTTTTCCATCTTCAAAGAGATTTTCCCCTTCCCGGGGTGCGTTTTTTCCCCCTCCCAGGACTCGGGGCTCAGTCCGGTAATTGTTTCCCCTCTTCAAAGCGGTTTTGCCCTTCCCGGGACGCGGGGCTCAGCCCGGTCATATTTTTCCGTTTTCAAAGTGATGTTTCCCTTTCCCGGGGTGCGTTTTTTCCCCCTCCCGGGACGCGGGGCTCAGCCCGGTAATTCTTTTTCGTTTTCAAAGAGATTTTTCCCGTCTCGGGACTCGGTTTTTTCCCTTTCCCGGGACTCGGGGCTCAGCCCCGGTAATTGTTCTCCATTTTCAAACCGATTTTTTCCCTTTCCCGGGACTCGGGGCTCATCCCCGGTAATTCCTTTCCATCTCCAAAACTATTTTTTCCCTTTCCCGGGACTCGGGGCTCAGCCCAGTAATTGTTCTCCATTTTCAAAGATATTTTTCCCTTCCCGGGGTGCGGTTTTTCCCTTTCCCGGGACTCGGGGCTCAGCCCGGTAATTGTTCTCCATCTCCAAACCGATTTTTTCCTTTCCCGGGACTCGGGGCTCATCCCCGGTCATTCTTTTCCGTCCTCAAAGCGCTCCGGGAATTCCAGCGGTTTTGATTCCCTCCGCCGCGGGGCCCGGGGGGGACTCGGGAGCGGCGGGGATTTCACCGGAATTATCCCGGTGGGGTTTTCCATAGGGAAAAATGGAATCCGTGGATGGGACCGGGACAGTGGTATCACCTCCCCCGAGCTGGGGACAGGGACAGCGGTGTCACCTCGCCCGAGCTGGGGACAGGGACAGCGGTGTCACCTCCCCCGGGCTGGGGACAGGGACAGCCCTGCCACCCTCCCGACCGCAGTTCCCGGTTTACAGGGATGGAGGGAAAGGGGAACGGAGGCGTTACCGGGGGACCGGGGATCCCCTGCTCTCCGGAGGCGCCGATGTCACCCTTGGGGCCCTGGGAACGGAGAGCGGAGGGGACGGTGGAGGGACAGCGGGGACAGAGGGGACACAGCGGGGACAGCGGGGACAAAGGGGATCCTTCCCTTCCCTTCCCTTCCCTTCCCTTCCCTTCCCTTTTCCCATTTCCAAACCCCATTCCCCAGATACAGCCCCATTCCCAGTGGATCCAGCCCCATTCCCATTTCCCAAACCCCATTCCCGTTTCCCAAACCCCGTTCCCACTTCCCAAACCCCATTCCTGTTTCCCAAACCCCATTCCCACAGGTCCAGCCCCATTCCCATTTCCCAAACTCCGATCCCATTTTCCAAACCCCGTTCCCAGTCGATCCCACTGGATCCCAGTGGGTCACTCACAGTCTCTCCTGGTTTTCCAGGCTCTCCCAGCGCTCCGGGGCGGCCCCTGTGTCCCTGTGTGGGGACAGAAAAACTGAGGAACATCCCTGTCCCCATAGGACAATCCCTTCCCCATAGGGGACAATCCCCATCTGTCGGGGACAATCCCGGTCTGTTGGGGACAATCCCGG